ATCCATTCACCACCACCACCAGGGTCAAGCTAAGCCACTCCCCTTCAGACCGACCCCAACCATCCATTCACCACCACCACCACCAGGGTCAAGCTAAGCCCCTCCCCTTCAGACCGACCCAAACATCCATTCACCACCACCAGGGTCAAGCTAAGCTCCTCCCCTTCAGACCCAACCCAACTATCCATTCACCACCACCAGGGTCAAGCTAAGCCCCTCCCCTTCAGACCGACCCCAACTATCCATTCACCACCACCAGGGTCAAGCTAAGCCCCTCCCCTTCAGACCGACCCCAACCATCCATTCAAACCACCAGGGTCAAGCTAAGCTCCTCCCCTTCAGACCGACCCCAACTATCCATTCACCACCACCAGGGTCAAACTAAGCCCCTCCCCTTCAGACCGACCCCAACTATCCATTCAATACCACCAGGGTCAAGCTAAGCTCCTCCCCTTCAGACCGACCCCAAACATCCATTCACCACCACCAGTGTCTAGACGCCGGGCAGTTTCATCGGATCGGTTCTCCCCTCCCGAATGATACTCCCGCAGAGCGGGGCCTAATCGCCAAAACTCCATTATATTCATTTGTGTATTCCTTGCAATAAATATGTATTCTTTCATCAAAATCCTCTCTCCTGATTGAATTACTTTTATACCAAAACTGCCTTTCTTTGGGAGATTGCAGTGAGAAGACGTTCTTTTAAATGGCCATGGCTCACCTTGCAGAATTTGCCCCAGGGGATTTGTCCTTCTGGGTTCCTCTGGGCTTTAGATCCTGCAGAAAAACATTTACAATTCATATTAAAAATAATAAAATCTTTCTAACATTTCACACATTTTTCTACATATTTTTAGCAAAGAGATTTTTTTTTAAGGTATTTATTTGGCAGGAGAGTGTCTTCTTTGGAGATTTGTCTAATCACATTTTTTCTGTCATTTTTGCATATTTTCATCTAAATCTTATATATTTTTGCACATATTTTTCTGCCATTTTTACACATTTTAGCAAATATTTTTCAAATGCTTTTACAAAAGTATAACATATTTCTAAAATGCTTGTTTCTTTCACACATTCCTCAAAGGCCCCCGTTGAGGTCTGCCGAACTCTGTAAAGTGTGAAAGGTTCTGCAGGTGTCGGAGGTGTTCGTGTTTGGACATATTTCTAAACTGTTTACGTATTTTCTAGTTTAGGTAGTTCGCTGTTCGCTTTGGTTCCTACCGAGCAGCTTGTCGGCCAGCAAGTTGAGCTGCTCCTGGTTCAGGCCTCGCTGCGTGACGGAGGAGAACTGCCAGCTCAGGACCTCCGACAGCTGAGACCACTTTGCCGCGGGAGGGGTGATGAAGAACTTCAGATTCTGAGGAAGAGGAGAGGAGGAGACTTGATGAAGAACTGAGTGCATGTCAAATATAGGGGACTTTTACTGGAGCTTTTAGGCTGATACCAATGTTTTATCATGATTGAAATGTTACACAGATTTTCTACTTTTTTCTCATTTTGATTATGACAGCTGTGGTAACATATATATGTGTGTGTGTGTGTGTGTGTGTGTGTGTGTGTGTGTGTGTGTGTGTGTGTGTGTGTGTGTGTGTGTGTGTGTGTGTGT